TCATCAACCCAACCCCTTTGAAAGATTCTTTCCCTCAAGAATGACCTTGAATTTCTATGAATTTATTCCATACTTTTAGTTCAAGGCTTGACAACTCACTTCCTATTCACTCCAGCTCTCACAATGAACTCACTATGACAAAAGGCGCTCAATGCATAATCTGAATGAAAATTTTCCAATTGATGCTACCACCAAAAAGTAGTTGCATCATCCTTCTTTATGAGAGCTCATACTTGCTGCTTCTTTGACACCGAGATATCCATCAAAACTTCCAAGCAAAGCGCAACAATGTCTTTGAAGACGATCAATGGAGTGGCTGGAACAACATAGATGATTGTGTTCGGTGTTTGATAGGTTTGAGATAATTGATAACTTATTTGTGAGAATAATTAACAACATCAAAATAATAACTTAAATAATCCTTTTCCAAAATCAGATAATGGTGTTGTTGAGAATAAATAAGAGACTATGTGATGGCAAAGGTAGAGGTTTCAGTGATGGAGACGAAGACACTGTTATTAGTGGATATGAAGATGCTGCTGTTGGCGGAGCAATCTCAAAGAAGTCCAAATATTTTACAGTAATTATAATGAGGAGTAAATCGATGTGTTGTTTGCTAATGTTTTTAGACATCGGGTCCCATGCATATGTCTTTTTTCCAACTTTCGATAAGGACTTTCATCGATGAATCAAGCATGATAATTAAATATTTTGTATTTTTTATGATGTCAAATAAAATTGTATCGTGCACAATTAAATTATAATTTATGTCAGTGATCAAATGAATCCGACCATCGGTCGGGCCCAAATCTAGTTTTATGTTGTAAGTAACTCCAACATTAAGATATTGATGGCAAACATTTATCTTGGTATGATTCCACTAAAAGTAGTTCATAAGAGAAGAACCAATCAAAGTTTAAGAAGGTGTGATTCCATGTACGCTTTAACGCTTAGGCGCTAAGCATATAATTAGACATTTATAACGTGTAACATCCCATTTCGGCTAAACTCATATTTCGATCGGTGGAAATTACACGATTAAAATTGAGTGTTTTGATACTTATCCGGTCGATCGATATTCCAATTATCGTCGAAATACTATCAAAATACTCGATTTTAATAATGTAATTTCCACCGATCGAAATATGAGTTTAGCCAAAATGGGATGTTACATAATGTGTAGGCGTTGTATGGGTGGAGCTAGGCACGATTAATCGGCATAGGGTGTGATTAATCTAATTGAGGCACGCTTAAGCATTTTGACAGAACAAAGGTTAAAATAATTTGTAGCTAATATTTCCAAAACGAGGTCATCTCCAACTACCTTATATTCGACTCGACCCTTTGCCTTGCTCTTCACCATTGTTGACTACAGACCATCCACAATCTACGACTTCTATAAACTTGTGATTCTAGAAATATGGCATATTTTGCTTATTATTGAGAGTTCTTATGTTACTAATCATTTGAAATTGAACTAAAAAAATTATACAAAATTGTTATTACTATTGAAAATGACTATTTTCACTAGGGATTAGGGATGGCAATGGGTCGGGTTGGGGCGGGTTTTGCCAAACCCAAACCCAACCCGCTGGGTTTATCCGACAAAAAAACCCGGGGTAAAACCCGCTGGGTTTGAAAAACTCAAACCCAACCCAACCCGCTGGGTATCCGCGGGTTCGTGGGTACCCGTGGGTTTTTTGATAAAAAATTTAAAATAACAATTAACATACCATTCTAGAAAATTAAGCATCAATCTCGTAACACAAACTATCCATACTTAAACATACCATTCTAGAAAATTCAAGCAAATCACAAACAAATATCATAGTGGGATATATATCATTAAATTATATGGTGTTGTTATCTCATTCACTAGATACAATACAGATAAGAACATTTCTTAGCCTTGTACAAATACTGCCACAGAAACTTTCAAGTTCCAGACTCTTGAAGGAAAAGACTTCATAATGAGAAAAGAAAGGAAGATTAGCATACAGTCATTATCAAACAAGTTCACACAGTATCAGAGGAAGGGTCGGAGCAACAAAACAAGTTCACACATTATCAAACAAGTTCACACATTATCAAACAGTAGGTTTAAACCAGACAATAATCAAATAATCATCTAGTTCCCAGATGGCATGGATTCACACAAAATTTTGGGACCATGTTACTTGCCATAATGCTCCAAACTTAGGTATTATTCGGAGCGTCTGCCAATCTGTTTTAGTCTTTAGGAACAAATGGCAGGGTCAAACCAGCCGACTACCAAGTAACTCCGAGATGGTAAGGATTTTGTGTCCAGAATAAGAATATAGGCAACTAGCTCACCAATACAATTTGGTTCGGCCATAAACCAGATGAACGGAAGCTAAGGCTGATATTACAACATGGATGAGCTAGCACATTCTATCAGTGCAACTAGTTAGAGTAGTGAGTAATATGCACAAAAAAGCAAGCACCCATGCGTTAGTTAGAATGAGAGAGGGAGTTCACTTACACCCACCAGGGGAAGGGTCGGAGCAGAGGAAGCAGGAGGAGGGCGGCGGGTGTGGACCGTCGGCGTTGGCGGGATGTGGAGACTACGCGCAGAGCAGAGGAGAAGGAGGAGGGCGGCGGGACTGAAGGGCGGCAGGACTGGTGTCGGCGGGAGGCGGCGATGTGGAGGCGCAGGCCGCGGAGCAGAGTAGCAGGGGGAGGGCGGCGCGGTATGGATTCGAACGTCGGCTGTCGGCGCCCGGCGGGGAGGTGGGGACTTGGAGGCGCAGAGCAGAGGAGTAGCAGGGGGAGGGCGGCCGGTGACTGGAATGGAGACGGGATCCCGATTCGGGCGGCGACGGGAATGGAGATGGGAGGATTTGGTGGCGGTGTGCTGCTCTCTGCACTCTGCTGGGAGGTTTGGTGGCGGCCAAAATTTGGGGTTGGAGGAGGTCGACTGAGTACTGACTCAATTCAAATCACATTAAAGATATTAGGGTTTTGCCTATATCCGGGTATCCACGGGTCGGGTTCCCCCAAACCCGAACCCGACCCAACCCGCCCAGCAAGCCACTGGTTTTAACCCGAACCCGACCCGAACCCAGTCAACACGGATTTTACCCGGTTTGACCGGGTCGGGTCGGGCGGGTACCCGCGGGTCCGGGTTTTATTGCCATCCCTACTAGGGATGACAAAAATAACAATATTCGTGGATATTGGAGGTGATAAGTGGGCATGGTTTTCTCACTATCCAACCCGAACTCGTCCGTTTACACATGCATATGTATTTTTTTAAATGATCATTATTTTTCTCAACATATTTGATATTTTCATAAATTAATATTACGTTTACCAAATTTTCTTCATTTTAGTAATTTGTTGTTTTAATTTTTTACTAAAATTATGTCAGCATATGTGAAATTGTTAGCATGTTGGTTGAATAGTTAAGAACAATTATTTTCATGGTTAACCGTGGATACCTGAAACCTGATCGGATATGGGTATGGTTTCAATATTCTACCTGACTCTTGTATGGATATGAGTAAACCCAAACTTTTTTGGGAGGGTATGCACTATCCTACCCCAAACCAACCCTTTTTTTTCAAGGAAAGGCCAAAAGGCATGTGACAAAGACTCAACACGATTACAAGACCTCTCAAACACTACACGTTAGTCCGTATGCAACCAGACTACCGATGAAACAACATGATAAGCCACTACTTGAGCAACTCTGAAGAATTTTCGAGGAGTAAAGACATGGCATTGGGGGTATAAAAAAAACAAAAATAAAAAAACCCAAAATCTCCAAGATAGTCCCGCGAACGAGTGTAGTTTCCTTTGACGAATAATATCAGATGGCTCAAGATAGGATGAGTAACAATGAGTAACCAAATCTGGACCCTTCTTTTAAGTGACGGCAGATATAAGGGTGAAGAATTAAAGGAATTTATTTTTTCTAGTTTTTTTAATTGGATCATATCTTCTTCATTCTAACTCGGATTCCAATTTTTTTTGCACAGATGGAACGAGTTCGTTGTGCTCTACAAAATGATATCCATTTTCAATATTTTTTGAGAATTTTTTTTTTCATCCCTCTTGTTACCAACTCCATACCATATGGTATCTCCTTCGTTGTTTAGTAATTTTCGGAAATTTTTGCACAAAAGGAAGGATTTAATCATGATCTATTGGATTTCAAAATTTTATGGGGGAAAAATTTCAAATCTCTCGTTACCAACTCCATACCATACTATACCACCCTGGTATGAGGTGGTATTTTTCATACCATATGGTATGCTGTTATTTAATACCATATGGTATTGACTGGTATTAAATAACAACATATGGTATTGACTGGTATTTTTCATACCATATGGTATGCTGTTATTTAATACCAGTCAATACCATATGGTATTGACTATACCATATGGTATTGCCTGGTAATAACTGACAAATTTTTTTTGTTCAAAAAAATATCAAAGTGGATATCATTTTGAAGAGCACAATTAATTTGATCTAACTGTGCAAAAAAAATTAAATTTCGTGTTAAAAAGAGTGAGAAATCGTCCATTAAAGATTAAGGGAAAGAAAATTAATGATTTTTCAGGAGAGAGAAGGAGGTGCTGATGTGGCAGATTCTTATTGGGTTATGCATGGAGTTACTCACCGGATCAGCTCCCATATCGGATGACCTGTACAGAATTGCCACAAAAAACCACAACAAAAAAAGAAATTGACAATTTAACCGAATGATCTAACGCCCCCAACCCAACCCTTTGTCATCCCTAATTTTTACTAAAACGTCTAGAAGTGCTTAAATGTACTAACCAGTAACCACTGCACAAGGCCTCAATGCGTACCTAGCGCCTTCAGCCTTCCAACCAATCGCACCCATTAAGTTTAAGTATGACGTAATAATTCTTAGTTATTACAAACTACTATTATGGACAAAAAGAAATCCCTATATAAGTATGGCCGACTAGACAAAGAATCCTCCGCCCTCTGGTAAGCAAAAGCAACCAACCCCCCACACCTTCCTTCTTTTAGAAGAATATATATAATATAATTTCCGCCGGTCTCCTCTGTTTTCCTTATTCATTCCCCCATCTTTGCTGGAAACCAAACCAGAGAGATCTAAATCCCTGACGTGGTCTCCTTCTGTCAGCTCTATCTCCATCCCCCATCCCTTTCTCAATATCAATCCTATCGCCATTTGCGCTTCTCGAGACAACACACCAACTCTCTCCCCCCATACCTTATCGCCATTGTTATAAGATCTCTCGCCAAACCGAACGATCACTCCCACGTTTATCTCTTAAAAGGATAAGGCTCCTTCTCCAGTTTATCCATTCCCTTTTCCTATTTCCAGGTAATTTACTCATTTATCGCTGCCTGTCTTTGTGCTTGTTAGGATGGTTTCCCAGTTTAGATCTCACTGCATTTCCCGCGGTTCACCGCCACAGTTTTTTTTTTTTGGGTAGTTTTTATGGCACTTCTCCTGCATCGTATGCAGAGGTCAAGTTTGATGAATTCTGCGTAGTTGGGTGAGAATCTAGATCTAGCTGAATGTTATTTCTTTCCTCTTGTAAATTGACGAGTTGTTGAATTTTTTGGATCTGGTTATAGCATTTGGACGTGGATTTGAGTCTGTCTCTATCTGTTTGGGAGAGAAGTTGATGCTCTATCTTGATTTTAGTTGGTAATTTGTCAATCTCTTGATAAATCGAATTGGATGCCTAATGAAATGAGCAATGGAATGATGAATTTGTAGGAAGGATTTGATGAAAGCTCTCTGGCTCTATTATTATTATTATTATTATTATTTTTTTTTTTTTTTTTGGTGGGTTAGGTAGGTGGAGATTTTGCTAGTTGTTTTAGAGATATCTTCCATTGTCAGAAAGTGGTGTTGAACAGGATAAGTCAACTGTTTTTCCCACCTTACCTGTCTATCCATTCATTTCAAAGACTACCCTTCTTTTTGGTTGTTGAATGAAGATGTGAATTGTTGGGATTAGAGTTTACACCTCAATTGATCTTCTCCCTTTTGTGTGGTTCTGCAGTTGTCATCTGCTTCCAGTAAAATGGAAGTCACAGGAGGCTAAGTTGTTGCATATTCTACGGGCTTTGTTTGGTAAGCATACATATAGTAGTTTGTGAGATGGCTAGAAATACAGTTTTCAGATTACTATAATTGCTAACTTCTTATCATGTCGTCTTCTTTTTCGATGATGTGCAGAAACCTTGGGCAATGTGTCAGGGCAGAGACCACGTTGGAGGATTAGGTAGTACTGCAAGTAGGGTAAATTTGAGCAACAATTCCAAGAGCAGCAGAACTTCTGGTATGGAATATGAATCAGACTGGGTAAGACACGGGAAATCATCGGAATTAGCTGCTCAAGTGATTCGATCTGCAACTTGTTTCATGGCTTGGTCCTGTAAGATTCCTATAGGTGACGGTTATCACGAATTTCTTTAGCTCGAACAGAAAAGATCTTTCATTTACAAAGCATTGATAGAGTTCTCAGGGAGATATAAAAGTCTTTTTTCTTCAATCCATATCTCTCCTGATTCGCTTGAGAAATGGCGGATGTTATGTGTGCCAACAAGATGTATACTGGAACAAAGTTGTCCTTCTCAAGATCATTCATGCACAATAAGGCCACTCGTTCGAAGAGCAGCCCTAGATTGGTTACTAATGAAGACGACTGCTCGATGCTACCCGGGCTACCTGATGATGTGGCGAAGTATTGCCTGGCACTGGTTCCTCGTCCTAGCTTCCCAGCCATGGGTGCTGTATGCAGGAGGTGGAGGTCATATATCAAAAGCAAAGAGTTCATTACTGTGAGGAAGTTAGCTGGTTTGCTCGAGGAATGGCTGTATGTCTTGCTTCTGGATTCTGGAGGAAAGAGAAGCCACTGGGAGGTGTTGGATTCTTGTGGCAATAAACATCGGGTTCTTCCCCAGATGCCTGGCCTTGTTAAGGCTGGGTTTGGTGTAGTTGTTCTGAATGGAAAGCTACTTGTCATGGCTGGCTATTCAACTGCTGATGATGGGGCAAACTGTGCCTCTGATGAAGTTTACGAATATGATTCAAGTCTGAACAGGTTTGTTCTCTTCTCTGGCATTCTTTTTATGCTTCAATTGGTCCATTTTCCCTGGTTCAGAATCAACGCCTCTAAGTATTGTCTTTTCCAAGTCGATTTAAGCTTTTATCATGGGCTAGTTGATTCATTTGCTAAATTATGATTTGCGAACTTCCCATAATTCTAATTACTGCTTTCCGCACCATATCTGTACAACTGCAGTTGGAGCAAATTATCAAACATGAACGCTCCTCGCTATGATTTTGCTTGCACGGAGGTCAATGGCAAAGTCTACGCAGCTGGTGGTTGTGGCATTGATGGCGATTGCCTTTCCAGCGTAGAAATGTACGACCCGGAGACGGCCAAATGGACCCTGATAGAGTCTCTCCGTCGCCCGAGATGGGGTTGCTTCGGCTGCAACTTTGACGGGAAGCTTTACGTCATGGGAGGAAGGTCGAGCTTCACAATTGGTAACTCCAAGTTCGTCGACGTTTATAACCCCGATATGCAATCCTGGGGCCAGCTGAAGAATGGTTGCGTCATGGTCACAGCACATGCTGTACTCAAGAAGAAGCTCTTCTGTATGGAGTGGAAGAACCAGCGAAAACTGGCGATATTCGACCCAGAGGACAACTCCTGGAAGATGGTACCCTTGCCATTGACCGGGAGCTCCACAGTAGGGTTCCGGTTTGGGATCCTCAACGGGAAACTTCTGTTGCTGGCTATGGAGGATGACCCGAGTTACAAGACCTTGCTGTATGATCCTAAAGCTCCATCTGGCTCAGAGTGGCAGACTTCTGAGATAAAGCTGTCTGGCTTGTGCTTATGTAGCGTGACCATCAAGGCATGATATGAATGGAGTTCTTGATCTAAAGCTAAAGTCTGCAGTTTATTGTTGATGCATTAGTTAATTCAGATCAGGCTGCGACTTGTTTTCTGGATTTTTTTTATTCTGTTGTAATCTCCAGTTTGAAGAGGTGTCTCGACTCTGTTGTTGCATTAATCATTAGTTTCAAGTGTTCGTTGTATTTTGTATTCTGTTGTGAACTTATGAATAGTGGTTAACTGGTTATAGAGAAGAAATCTGGAATGATGATTTGGCTTGTCTTTGCAGACGATGGGAATATACAAGAATGATTCACTGTATTGATTTAATTGAAGGTTGGGAAAGAAGTTGAAGTTCAGCTTCCAGATCCATTTCTTTCTGGTGTCTCTCTAATTAATAAGGTTGTGTTAGCATTGAGCATTTGTTGACCTTGTGCGGATACGGATAATTAACATGGAGAGGGCCTAATACACTAAGGGGTTTCTTTAAATTGATTCTTTTAAATTGATGTATTATATTAATGTATGAATTCTAAATTTATGTTTTGCTTGAATGGTTGTTTTTGAAAAATCTCTTGTTTGGAGGTGTAGATTGTATTTTTCACGTATCTAAAAAGGTAATATACATTTTCGGTTTAAACTTTAAAGCTATATTTGCCGTTCATTAACTCTTTTATCTATTGAGAGAGGAGCCATGAGAGAGGCTAATGTTGGAATAAACAAAAAGTACAAGGGATAAAAGTGAAAAAAATAGACAGATAATCATTCGTTTACAATCTCAACTTTAGCTAGAGATTGTCAATCCTTAATTTTGAGGGATTGTCAATCCTTAATTTTGAGGGATTAGAGGTGGGCTCTTAAAAAGTAAATACATGTATTCTAACTCAATTTAAACAAAAAAAAAAACGACTAAATCTCCACATAGCATGTATTGACTAAATACACCACTTCACATCACAACCTCCAAACGACCCCTAAATGGCATGTCACATATGGACTTTAATCCATCACAAAGCATACAAAATTTCTCACGTAGGGTCCAAGTCATTGTCCTATATAAGGATGATTCTTAAAACTTCCAAGCTAAGGATGATCTTCTTGCCTTGCTACACTTTCAACATATATGGTATTCTCTCTCACACTTTTATCTCTACATTCACATACATTCATCCTCATATCGTACTAATTTCGACGTTAGAGTGAGAAGATTGAATGAAAGAGTTCAAATTAGAGCCCCAAGGATTATAGTTATCAATAACAGTTAATTGAATTTGATTGGTTTGAACCCAATCAACACATTTTCTCCTAAAACTAGGACTGGAAGTTTGGTACCGTTAGTTGAGATGATCAAATACTGTACCGAATTTACCACTATTTGGTATTTCAGAATATCGAGTTGTTTTTAGGGATTGAGATTATGATTGGTTTTGGGTGTTATTATGGAATTGGGATCGGTATTTACCGAGATACCGAGTAATACAAAAAAAATTATAATTAATAAAATATAACTCACAACTTCTGGTCATTGCTAACTCTTTCACTTGCAAACACCCTTCCAATCTGAGCTTATCTTCCATGTTTTTCTAGGTGACTCTCGTCGCTCACTCAATCTCTTGTTTTTTCAGAATACCAAAAAACAGACACTCTCACAAGTCCTTTCTCGGTCTTCACTCCATTGAATAAAAAATTATCAAGAACAAGAAATTGAGATATCACCATATCATCCTTTCTCTTCGTTCCTACCTTAGGTTTAGACAAATTCAAGACTCTTTGTTTAGTCTCATAGCCCCAAATGGACACTCGTGATGGAATGTGTTAGCGTGGTTACTCAATTTTAAGTAATCACAGTGGCTACCAAAATCCACACCATTCATTATCTATATTTCACCATATTTTTTAATTGACGGTGAAGATTAGATTAAGCGTATTTTTGAAAATGAAAAAAATATCACACCAGATTTATATTCTTTAAAAAATCTATTTGTATATATTATATGTAAACCCTACTGCAACCTCATTCCCATCGGCCTCTCTCCCCCCACACCGCCGCTATCGGGCACCCTTCCCCTCCGTCCACCCTCGCCACCGGTGCCCTCCTCCATCCCTTGCATGCCTCCTCTCTCTCTCTCTCTCTCTCTCTCTCTCTCTCTCATGCCCTCGCACGGCCTATCTCGCCCAACGTAAGCCGTAATCAGCAGCGTGGCGTAATGGATCTGGTCCTTGGTGGCGAGATTGGAACAGACCAGGAAGGCCTTGACATTCTTGCGTTGGTTGCCCTAGCGCTAAATAATCTTCCCCGGCTCCTTGTCATTCACTACTTTTTCGTTGCAACAGAAGTCCTTCACATCCAAGAATGGTACTGTTTGCATTGGTAGAGGATTTGCTTTGGTAGCTACCTTACATTTTATTTTGGTACTGTTTGCATTATGCTTTGATAGTGTTTGCATTATGCTTTAGTGGTTACCTGCATTTTCTTTGGTAGTGTGTGCATTACGCTTTGGTAGTTACCTGCATTTGGTTTGGTAGTGTTTGCATTATGCTTTGGTAGTTCTTTGTATTTATTTTGGTAGTGTTTATATTGATTATTTACGCAATGGTATTGTTTTGATTCCACAGTGGTAGTGGTATTGGTTGTTTTGGTATTTGTTTGACTTTTGTAATGGTATAGATTGTTTATATTGGTAGTTTCGTGTAATGGTATAGATTTATTTCTGCAATGGTATTAATGTTTTTCAAAATGGTAGTGGTTGTCTAATGGATTGGTAGTGCTTTCGTGTTTTTTCTTTTGCAGAAAGATTGAGAAAAATATGGAAAGAAGATCTGGCTGGAGATTACGTAAGTGAGAGAAAGAGAAAGAATTGTAATTAATAGATTTTTATAACTACCTAAAATGTAATTTATTAAAATTAATTAATATAATTTATTTTTCTATACCCAATTTACCCTTAGTAACTACGGTGATTACTACTTTGTAGTAATCACCGTAACCGCTCCCCACCTGTGATGAGTCCATTCAAATGAGACTGTGATTGAATCCATTCAGTGGAGACTTTGATTAGTTTTCAATTTTTATTAGATTTTTCTCACCTCAACTTCCCATCGCTAAGGTTTTCAATCGGTAAACTAAACCTACAAGGCTACACCTTATAAAAATATTTATGATTAGAGGTGTTTGAACTATTACTTATTAATATTTACATTTATATATTCATTGTGAAGATAATTAATTTTGTATTTTGGAACATCAATATCGTATCGAAAATATTGTGGGATTGAGATTAAGATGCCGAATTTATTTTAGGATCGAGATTGAGATTGATTTTAAAATACAATTTGGCATTTGAAATTTCAATATTTGATATCAAAATACCAATACCGTACCGATTTCCACCCTTAACTTGAGGTCAACATCCCAAAAATCTGGAGAAAACAAGCCGTCTCCAAAAAACTAGATTTGGAGGTAGCGGTTATAGATAACCCATTTGCAAATCGCAATCCATTCAGACGTGGGACGCACCTCCTGGAATAAATACTAATGATTTAAATACCGTATAAAAAAATTAGCAGTATAGTATTTTATTTTGAAACCGTGGTTTATCAGCGATTCAACCCTTAAATACTGTTAAATATCATCTATCAATTTCTCTTATGATAGGAGATTTTTATGATTGAACCACCGGTACGATACGATAATTCAATCCTTGATAAATAAATAATTAAATAACGGTCACTTCTTATGATAGGCCCTTTACATATGATGATGTGAAGATCCAGTTCCCAGTCGACGCCGGCCCAACTCGCTCCTATTTTGGGCTGCGAGACTCAGATTACAGAGCTTGGAGCAGCATCCCCATCAGAGTCGGACTAAACACGCCGCTACCCCCAAATGCGCAGACTGCCAATAGAGCGGCAATTCAAATCGTCGAACACCAAAGCTGCGGAAAAATGAAACTGAAATCTCTCGAGCTCGTGGCGCCATCGTCACCGTAGGTCCGTAAGGAGAAAAAGTCACCGCAGCGGCGCAGCCGGTTTCCGGAGCTCCAATTTTCACCATGTTTGGCACCCCATCCTCAACTCCGGCGTTCGGCACTCCATCTTCAACTCCGGCGTTCGGCACTCCGTCTTCCGCTTCGGCGTTCGGAACTCCGTCCACCCCAGCCTTCGGAACTCCCTCCTCGGCATTCGGAACTCCCTCCTCCACTCCGTTGTTCGGAGCTCCGTCATCTTCGACTCCAGCGTTCGCCACTCCGTCCACCTCCTCGTTCGCCACTGGATTCGGCTCTTCTCTCTTCTCCACGCCATTTTCTGCGCAGCCTCAGCAGCAGCAACAGCAGCAGCAGTCTCTATTCCAGCAACCGAGTTCTGGCTTTGGATTCCAGTCTCAGTTCCCCGCGCAGCAGCCTACGCCGTTCCCCAATGCTCAATTGACGACTCAGATGGCCCCCGTGGCCCCGCTCCCTTTCTCCCTCGCCGATCGTGATATTCAGGTGTGGCCTCTTTCCTACCTCCGCGTTCTTCTTCTTCGCTTTCTCGTTAGCCTTACGGATCTTTGCTTGACTTCGTTTCGTTGCTGAATCCTGTGTTAATTCTTCGGAATCGATGGTAGGCAATCGTGGATGCTTATAAGGAGGAGGCTGGGAACCCTAAATATGGTTTCAAGGTATGTTAGCTTGCTCTAGTGAATGATTGGTCTGTTTTAGAGGGTTTGATACGGAAATGACAGCAATCTGAGCTATTCTCTTTGTTGTCTACTCTTTTCAGTATTTGCTGTTTAGTGTTACGGATCCACAGCTTAGAATCAAGCCTACCACTGTATCAGATGTGAGTTTAACTTAATGGTTAATTTGATTGCTTCTCTCTTAATTCTGGCGTTGTGTATTTGCTCTAGAGTTTGTTCTTCTGCGTGTATGTGCTAAGTTGGGAAATAGTTTGCATTGGTTAGATTATGTGGGCAGAGGCTATGGGGAAGTTAGAAGGGATGGAGAGTAGAGACCGGGAGCGTCTATGGCCTCAACTTGCTCAAGGTTTCAAAGATCTGTCAAATCGCCTCAAGGTGAGTTATACTGGTTCGGTGCATTCATTGTGGTGTTATATCAAAACATTTTCCAAATTCTAAGTCTCTTCTGGGATATTGCCATATGCAAAGGTGATTGCGACTGAGATTCCATCGCATTGAGTTTCCATTTAGTGTTCGTTCCGAAAGAATTCGAATATTGACCTTGTTGCTGATATTCATAAATCTCAAGTTCATTTGTGATTGTAAAATGGTTTGATAGTTTAAAAAGAAATTAATTAGTTGGTAAATCTTAGTTATGCACTTTGTTGACTCTGAGATGCGATTTATGCAGCTTCAAGATGAAGTCATTGTTTCAGATTCTGAGAGATTGCGGACGACCCAAAGCAATGTGAAAACGGTACTACTCATCTGTATTCTCAGTTTGTTCTGGTTAGAAACTCCTTTAGTGTAATAATTGCTCCGTGCAGTTTGGAAAACTTTCTTGCTGGTTAGCTAGGACTTCCTGTTGATTCCCTAACTGTAATTGATTGAACATCCTTGTGTTCCTTTGTTGATAGCTTTTTTTTTATTTTTTATTTAAAGATGAATGTCTCTGAAACCGGAAATTGTTGCTTGCAGCTTCAACGACATATTCAAGCAGAGACTCTTCCATGGATTGATAGGCTGAGACAAAAGGAGCAAAGTATTCAGAGACGTCTTCTAAGGGTATTTTTCCCCTATATGTGTCACATTTGAAATATCTACTGAACATGGTAGAATTACTCTCTAGTTTGCTGAGTGCAAAATAGTCATCAGTCAGTGAAAGCTTGATGTGAATACCACTTCCGTTGATATGGCTTTGCTGGATCGACTGGATATTTGTGGGCATGGTCCAATTTGGTCCAGGATCAGACTAAACCGATTTTAGGACTTGGTAAAAAAGTGAAGGAAAGAGAGCTGGATCAAAAGTGCCTTTGATCCAATTCGTTTAGGTCCTGCTCAGATTTGGTCCATCTTTCCTCTGTATTTTAGGAGATTCAATGGGGCCAAGACCAAAATGGCTTTGAATTTGAGAATTGAAACTGAATTGAAGCTACTTTCACTCGGTTTGATCTGATCGAAATGTGGATTTGGTCCAGTAGGATCGAATCATAGTCAACCGCTACACATACCTATTCCTGTTTAGGATCAGTTTGAAGTTTGCGCTTTTGTCATGGCATTTGATCATAGTTAAATTCATTCTCACATTAGCTTTTTCTCTTGCATTTGCCAGACAATGCGGATACTTGAAGCTTTGGAGAGCAAGGGTTGTCGATTGCCACTAACGAAAGGGGAAGCTGAGTTGGCAGAGAAGCTAGCTTCTACAATTAGACAGGTATATTTACTGTCTCATGTTCTCGTCGTATTATTTCACCAAATATGAGAATTGCCAATAAGAACTTGCAATCTCAGCTGAAAGGTCCTGGAGCAGAACTCGGCAGGAGGATCCAAAGCCTACTCACCATCTCCCGTGTGCAAGCAAATGGGATTGGTCCAGGAGCTTCTACTTATCTCCCTGGCTCAACCAAGATTGACGAGCAAAGTCTAGTCGATATGCAAGAAGTAAGTGACGGAATCAGGTGTTGTGATCTCATCATCTCGCTATAAACACACATTTAATCCAGTCCCTGTCGGGCACAATTGCTTCGAAATTTGCACAGGTCTTACAACAGCAGACAGAGGCTATCGGAAGGCTTGGGAATGTGCTGAAGCGAGACATCAGGGACATCGAAATTATGATGGCCGAGGACACTGATATGGGGGATGGTTAAGCGCAGACCAAGACCAAGGGAGTTGAAGATGACAATACGATTGTTGTTTTGCGGCTACTTCACCAATTGACGTGTTTCACTCTTCCCAACGTTAAAAACCATTTGGCAGAGGTTTGAAGATCGCATATTTCTTTTATGTTCAAACATCTTTGGTGTGAAATGTATTCTAAAATAATTTACCTAGAGTGAACGAGTACAACTTCCGATTGTTAGTTAGCCCCTGGTTTGGCTGAACTCGGCTTCATTGTAGCGACGCATTTGAAGTGGGATGGGAATCAAAAGAGAACCACAGGGTTAACATCCCAAATCTGGTGCTTCCAGACCATTTCACAATGGTTAACATCCGTTTCTGTTATCTTGACAGCAAGTCTAGACACTGTAAAAAGCTTAAGTGCTTAACCCTTGAGGTTTACCTAAGAAGTATAATGTGATGAACTTTGTGGATATGATTTTCGTTCTTTGGTTGTGGAGAACTGAAGCTAAACAGCTCGTTAAGACACGAGCACACGGATAGAATTGCGAGCATGACTACTGGACGAGATTGTATGTGAACTTTGATGATGAAAATTGTCTTCACAATCTGATGAGATCTTTCACTGTAAATCTTAACCCCAAGGGCCAAGGGGTTAATGTGGGGAGTGGATATCATGTGATCCATCACCACCCTCTAACCGAGAATCCTGGGGCAATCTACTAGCAGGAATAAAGTTGCCATGAATCTTTGCTCATTGAAAGCTAAGCCTATGGCTACAGTAACCCTAAATCTATGACTACCCTCGGCGGAATGAGTCAAAATCGCTCAAAATTTGCTGCTCTGAGATCCGTCTACAATGAGACTAAACTGAACACTGAACACAAGAATGTAAATCTTCAGTACTTCAAGTATAGGCTTCTCCCATGATTAGAAGCACGAGTGCGGTCCAGCCGGTAAAGAGACGAGCACCTTTCCCTTTACCCTTCCTCTGATCATATTGTTCCCACAGAAACCCAGTTTGGTTGTAGTTTTGAACTACGTTTCTGCATAAAGAAACACATATGCCACAGAAAATCAAGCTCGAATAAGAACCGAGTTGCGGGCTGATTATATCACCAGGAGGCAGCTATTGCGGAAACCTGAACTAGGTGTTCTGTGGAAGAGGCATACCTTATCAAGTTACTTCTCAAGTCACTGTATATCTGCTTTGCTCTTTCTCTGTATGGTCCATCCACTGCAAGAAACCAATTGGAAGCATGAGAATGCAAACTAGAAAAAGCCATGCAGTTTCGGAAGCAAAGAACCATTCATTTTTACCTTGGGAGTAGTGGTGTAGCGCAGAAAGGACCAAGTAATTCATGTTCATCCAGATAGGCCCTCTCCAGTATGGAGGGTCATGCTCTGTGTTGCGTTTCATGTATACTGAGCTGCGATCATTCAATAACAACAATCTTTCAATATTAGTTGAATTCAAGCAAACATGGAAATGGAATGCTTTTAAGTCATTACAAACCTTGTTTTGGCAAGAGAACGGAGTCCATAGTTCGTCCACAGAATGCTACCATTCGAAATGAGGTCGAGCTGTTTTTCAAGAATCCATGAATCCTGGTTGAAGTTCAGTACCCTCATGTTTAAGTTCATGGAGATTTCCCAAATTATGCGAGGAAATGATGAAAGTTAGGATTCCTAGGCAACTTACAGGTGGAATGATCTTCCCCATGAATGGAAATAAGCTAACGTAGCCAATGTGGGGAACAAGCCTCAATTTTGGCCTTTCTAATGCTTCCCGGACAAGTTCTCGTTTCAGATGGTGGTTTTCCCCTCTTACCTCTTTCCAACTCAAACGAACCTGTTATGTTTAGGAAAAGCTTCAGTATTGCTGAGAACATTTCATAAGTGAAACAATTTAAACAGAAGGGCACACCTGTTCTGTATGATTTCCGAAATCGAAATAAGCTCCACTGGTTGGGTCGAGGTGCATCTGATAGATGGGAACGTGAAGTTAAAATCCCGCAAAACATTCTGATTTTACTATTCTAGAGGGGCAAACCTTGTCAGTTCTTTAGAAACTATGATTTTACTAGTAACATCTTACTATCTTTAAGTAAAACATCACTATTTTTCCCTTGTTGAGAAGTAACTTTTTAATCTGTGGTTATTTTCAAAATCTACTACTTTCATACAGTTCTTTTTGATTGTGCATAGTCTCGGTTTTGGCAACTACTGGCACTAAATCAAGTTATCCCATATGGACAACGAGAATGTTAAAGCCTGATCAGCTATTGAAGGATTGAGGTACAGTTGACCAACCTCGTTCAGCAACTCGAAATCCGAAAGTAGTTTCACTGTTGAAGCATATTCCTGCATTGTTTCCAAATGATTTCAAGGCTAGATCTTTCTAATGCATATCCACATAACAAATCAAACAGAATTTTATAAGGTTAGTTAGCTAACCTTCCCAGGGATGTCTCCATTCTTGAAGAACTTTGAAATGGATTGCATGCAGTTTGCAGCGAGAAGCATCCAGCATCTGAGATCCACGTGACGTTCATCTTCGTTTGGATGAGAAGCACGAGGATAGTCATCCAATCCTGAAGAAAGAGTCTGACATTGCAGATACCTAAAATATAAGCACTACCCAGGACATAATATTATCTAAATTTTTTTCGATCAGTTAAAAGGTTGGAGCAAAGAGGACCTTTGGATTCAGCTCACGAGTTGTCTTGTTATCTCTACCGTGCCAATAGTAGCTGCCCTTCTGCTTTCCTGCTTTCAAGTATAATTGTCAAAATCTTTTTAAGTTATGTAAAATAAAAAGTGCTGTAAATTCATAATTATAAGGGAACATCAAGTTTGGGAACCTGATTGTGTAATATTAAACCACTGTAACCAAGCTTCAAGACGAATAAAAGCCCGCTCCAGGAAGGAAGTAACGTCTCTGCTTTCCACATCCGTGAAGATGTTCCTCTCTATACCGTTAAGCAGATCTAACAAACCAAAGTTCCAAAACTGCATTTCAGAATTCAGCTTATGCTTAACTCTAGTGAAATTAGAGTGAAATATTGCGAAGTAGTTTTACAAACACAACCATGCATTAATACATTATAGTATTGCTGGTGGAAATAAATTTACCACGAATAACCAAAAAGAGAGTCGGAGGATTTCCATTGCTTGGATACTGAGGAATGAATTCTTCTGGAACCTTACTGCAGTAATAGTAGAGACAACCCACACCATTTACCTCAACAGTAATATGACAAACTGAAATACTGAAGTAGGTAGTTTTCCCCAAGTAATTTTGAGGGTTTGCTAGCTCAAATGACCTTGTTGTAGTACTTACCTACGAGCTTCAGAACCAAGGATTTGCTCACGAGGGATCCAACCGTCGATATTCATCAAGTCTAACCAGTGGCCAACAATATCCAATGATATACGGAGATCCCAGCGCCTGTTCACAGCAGTTAACATAGATATTCAGCAGGGCTTTTGCCTACTTAATTTATCTGCTAAATGTTACAGCCAACTTGCATCGAGAAAGAAATATATGGTGGAGAGCATAGACAGCTGACCAGATGAGTAATTGATGAAAACCTTCATCCCAAAGAAAACCTCTAGGGAAGAAGGGTCGGCTAGGGACAGCTGTATACAGCTCAGCAGGCCAATATGCAATATAATTGTCATGACCTTCATGCTGCAAGTATAAAGAGCCGACTGCATGACTTGTCAGATAGACATATTGAGTTCAAGTGCACATAATTAGCACTGCCGGTAGTAATTGCAAAGGGACTATTTTGAATTCGCAAGATACACTTAAGAACTAAAAGCTGCCCGTATGATTTACCAATACAAGCAAACATCATGCTTAAATTTTATTGAGTTGCATAGGACTTACATGAGGATATGCAATCTTCGATTGTCCATAAAAGTAGCCAATGCCTCCCAACATATTGGCTATAGCAGCCTTACCAACGATAGTGGAATCAGATTCCAACTGAACAAACAACGATCAATATCAGGCTCTGCCATTCTAATATTACTAGTATATGCAATTACTGTTGATCCCAATACTATGTTGATATCAAAGCCAGGTGTGCATAGCAATAGTTTATCTGTTATCTTGTTCTATTCAGCTGAAAATTATATATAACACCAAATGGTTGGGCATGAACGATCAATACCTTGTGGGCTCCATTAAAGAGCTGCTCAAACTTCGAGTCAAATTCTGCTTGCTTCTGCTGTAGCTGAGTGCTCAATGAAGCACCTGAAAAATATTAACATAATATCCTAGGTTACTGAACTAATGAAGTAGAACATGTATACTGACTGATGCTGAGGATAAGCAGGAGACCTTGAAGGCTGCTCAATCTTTGTTCTGAGCTTGAACCTTTCCCCTCAGTTCCAGACACAAAGGTAATATCCATCCTGAATGGAATCTTTGCAGCCACCTATACACAAGTAGAGAGATATTTAGGATATTTCCTACATTTAGCTAGGAAATAACATGGAGTATGCACGCTACACAGGGGGCAATTTCATATACCTGGAAAACTAATATGTTCGCGGAATTTTCAGATGAATCAGGCAGCTGCAGTCGGCCAAAATTCCTCACCTGGCCACAAATAATCAAAAGAAGCAAATCCCTTTGGTGATTGAATATTGATCAACACTTAGCCATTTAAAGCCAAGAACAAATGTGGAAATCAAAATACCTGCTCACTAAGATCTTGCAGAATAAGATCGGATAAATTGTGAATGTAAGAGGTCCTGAAACCAGAATAGTGAACCTCCAAAGTTTCCTTTAAAACAATCAAGTAGACACCATATTCAGATCAGCAATCCAATTTCAACAACCACTAATGACTAGACGAATTAAGGTACACTGTAGCAAATTCCCAAAGCACAACAACCATAAAGTATTATATAGAGCTCGAGACTCAAACTTAATTGAGAATCATATCTCATCCTACAAACAGTATTATACACCTGACTTGCTACCTTACCTTCGAATTTAAATGCACCTGCCATGCTCCAACGTCTGCTCTTGAACCTGATGCCAGAAGAGAATCCACATTATTTTCATCGGCATGACTGTTCGGACTCAGAGCATTCCCACTCTCATCAGCGAGATAGAAAAACATATGACCGGTTTTCAGCAATTCGTTACTTGGTCCGGATCTGTAAGTTAGGAAAGAGAGCTTCAGCTAACATAAGCAGGATTGAATCCATTACTTTCTTATCAGTGAAGCGCTTACTTCTCATGCTGTACATCAATCTGAACAGCCCAATCTCCACCATAACCACTGCCTTGACTCCTGGACTTCAAGAAGCTAGTCTCCAGCTTCAATTCCTGATCAACCAGCTCTTGCTTCCCAAAATCACGACCATTATGAGCAATCCAGCCATATTTGCTCAACTCGTCGGAGTCCTGGCAAACATGCCGCATATGGTACCTCCCATCTTTCACTCCTAACCACATCAGACCAGCAACCAAAGACCGAGGCTCCCTGCATTTTGCAAACAGTTACCAAAATCCCAAAACTAATTCATTGGCAAAACCATCTACAAAACAGAAACTAGTATCGACGTCTCTTCGCAAAGTGAAGATGTACTTGGACAAACAATTTTTACAGTTGATGCTGTAGCGCAGAAATGGGTGTATTGCTAATACGGATGCATTGAGCACAACTATATGAAAGATTTTGGAGAGAGAGATTTCAAGGATTCCACAATCTCTCCTTCATACGAGATATTTCTCACCTTGCTCGAACTCCAAAATAAACTTGAGGACGATAAGTTCCCCAGTACAAGCTCTCCTTATGCTCCCCTTGAAACTGAAAATGAACAGTCAGAACGAAAAGGATTGATGATCCAAATTCCCTTCGAATTCAATTGACTTGTAGCAATCCAAAATATGAACTGTTTGCTTTCCACCTGATCGAGCTCCATGAGCTTGGGAGAAGGGAATGGAGTAACAACCCTAGGTCTCTGATGAGACTCTTCAACAGGAGCAATCAGACTCTGAATCAAGAAGAAGATGGCGAGAGAAGCTACTAGGCCAATGGCGAGCATGACTCGCAAGTCAACGTTGAGAATCCGAATCAAGCTCCCGTCTCTCCGATGATCCATGCGTGATTTCGAGCTCGGTCTGGAGCTGGTACGAGAAACGTCGCTGACATCACTGCCGTCTGCGACGGCGAATTTGCCTTTGCTTCGCACCGTCCGCCGCCCGGTTCCTGTCATCTTTCAGGCCGGGAAATCCAGACGATTAGGTCCGTTTGTCTACTGCATTTGAGTGATCGAGCTCTCAAAGTTTTGCGAATTCTACTTGCAGACAGTGGCAGAGAGTTGGAGAGTACAAGGCCAGTGGCATGGTTGTCATGCCGGCCGACATGCCACCGGTTGAACCTGGTTCAACCGATTTCGGTCATGAAATCGACATGATACCACATGTATGATCGACATGAACAATCTGTAAATTACTGAATTTTTAAGTAAAATAATGTCGTTTTAGTGAATTTAAATATAACTATATATAATTTTATTGAAAATATCACATTTTATTTAAATAGCAATATAAATTGTACGTAAATTGTCTTCAAATATGCTTTATATATGATTAAATTCATTTGACATTAATGGTTTTAGACATTTCTACATATTTTATTAACTGGCATGAACCGGCACAAACTGGTTTTTACCACCGGTTGAACCATTCCACTTGCTAAACCGGCACAACAGTATAAACCGGTTTGACAACCTTGCCTAGTGGTAAAGGAAATGTTGGTAATTACTAATTACCGTCACAAACTTTTGGAGTTAGTACAAAACAATTATCATTCTTTAATTTGTAAAAATTCGATAATAAAACTTTGTACTTAGAACATAACGGTTACAAATTAAACAAAGTGAAAATTTCATACAACATCAAACTTTACAAGCTAAAAATTTGATGAAGTAGGGTAAATTTTCAATTATAATTAAAACATGACCTAAAACTCGTGTTTAAGCATTTGTATAGACCAAAGAAACTAAAAATAATAAAAAAATTGAAAAGGAAAAGAATCATAAACACACAAGGTAAGTTTAACTCGTTAGTGGCTATTCCACGGTTTGTCTTCCTGTTCCAATGTCGTGGAATTGATGTCCTTGGTCGGGGAACTCTTCAACCCAAATCCCATGTCCGTCCTTCTATTCCACGATCATAGAATTGACTCCCTAACCGTGGATTTTGACTGGTCACCATACGATATTCAGGCTGCTCATTTGGTGTCCAGAAAGCTTCGATCTTCTCATCCAATGCCTTTATGATCTTTCGCAATACTTGTACTCTCACCTCCAACTCCCAACTTCCATCGAATAGCTCCCAATATGAACGAGTAAGCGTCCAAAGTAAGTACCTTGAAGCTGTTTCCGCACTTAGCCATGTTCAGCCCGCCATTCCTCCACGAATTAATCACTATTTTGAATGCTTGGGAATTGACATTCTTGATGGCTATCTTGCTCACATCAGTCCATCCTCGTTGGAAAAGCTTCGCGCTCAAAGCTTGTGGGCTTCTGCAAGAAAAATCATCATCACAATACTCATAAAAAGGATCGAGATAAACTGTCTGCTCCTTTCCAATCGTGATCATCTCGTAGAAATCGTCATCTTCCTTCTGTGGTTCTGGAGTGCTTGGTTCTGGAGAAATCACTCCGTTGTCTTCAAGGAATTCGCCAATCAGTAGCTTCCTTCGATTCGTCCTCTAGCTCAACGTCGACTTCCTCAGAACTCGAACTCTTTTCAACCATAGTTTGAAGCAAAGCTCCCATATGAACCATTTGTGTTGCAATGTCGTCTGCAAAGTTTGGCTCCATGGTTGGAATCTTCGTTGTCTTCCTTGCCACTATGTTGAACCGGACTCTGATACCACTTGATACGAGCACAAAATCGGCACCCGTAGTTATCAAAATCATACAGCTAAAATCTTTTAAAGCTTTCCGAACTTTTCTCAACAACATAAAAAAACTAAAATGATAAGGCAAAATTGAAGTGCAATCGCACACCTGGGAGAAGGCTCTATCAATATAAGGGTAGAAGCTCGACCACAATCAAGATGGATGCTTGATTGATATAGAGACACACTCAACGCAAATTGAGTCCACCAACAATGAGAGCAAAATTCACAAGCCAAAAACTTGATGAACTAGGGTTAAATTTCAACAATAATCAAAGTCTGACCTAAAACTCGTGTTTAAACCTTTATATAGACCAAAGAAACAAAAAATAATAAAAAATCCGAAAAGGAAACGAATTCTAAACAAAAAAGGTACGTTTACTAGTTAGTGACTATTCCACGGTTTGTCTTCCTGTTCCACGATCGTGGAATTGATGTCCTTGGCTGGGGAACTCTTCTGCCCAAATCCCCTGTATATCCTTCTATTCTACAATCGTGGAATTGATTTCCTGAGAGTGGATTTTGACTGGTCACCATACGATCTTCAGGCTCCTCGTTTGGTGTCCAAGAAGGTTCGATCTCCTCATCCAACGCCCTTGTACTCTCACCTCCAACTCCCAACTTCAATCGAATAGCTCCCAATATGAACGAGTAAGCGTCCAAAGTAGGCACCTTGAAACCGTTTCCGCACTTTGCCATTTTCAACTCGTCATTCCTCCACAAATTAATCACTATCTTGAACGCTTAGGAATTGACATTCTTGATGACTATCTTGCTCACATCATATTCGTTCCAAATCAAATGTCGATTTAGTCTGGCAAGACCATGGCACATCCCTAGCAATCAGACTAGAATGCACTGGGAGTAGGGCTGACTAGTGGTTATGATCAAAAGTTAGTTGTAGTCTAAGAGCCTATATTTGTTCGGGCCTGCCGATAGTGTGGTTTCATGCAATATTACATCAAATAAGTAAACTTTAATGTATAGGATCCATCGTGCGCCAAATTTGAAGGAAGAAAGCAATATCAAATTGTTCAGTGGAGGAGAAAGTAGAGCATGTCGTGAGTTGCTGGATTGTGTTTTTCATCAGTACCCACATAACGTCATTCAAAGACTTTGCGTATTTTTATGGTTTCTCTGGCAAGAGTGCAAAAATAATTGGCAAAATAGAGCAAAACTCTAAGAGAATAAAGTGGCACAATGGGTGGCATGATGGATCGATGACTATTTGGAAGCTCCGAAGAAAATGGATCAAGATCTGTATGACCCGGTATCTAATTGTAATCATTGGAATGAGACGGACCACGAGATATTCAAATTGAACATTGATACTAGGAGGATCGGCAATGAGAGTGCTATTGGGAGGAGTTTTCCGAGACGACAAAGGCAATTTCATCTTTGGTTTCTCAAGGTGGGAGAGAGGGAAGTGCAACGAAGGTGAAGTTGAGGTGTTTCATTAATATATTTTTTCCTCAGTAATTAGCACTTTCCATTAAACTCTCTTGATCAAGGTGACCAAGCATCCCAAGAAAAACTTGGAAACATTCCACATTTCAGACCGAATACAAGGCCCAAAATTACTTACAATAATCCGTTAAAAAGAGCAAACATTGCACCTTAACAGATAAATCATTCCGACCTAAAGAAAAGAACAAAAAATTGTTTTTGAAGTGAGTAAAAAGGTTATGCCAATCTCTATGGACACCACCAAACACCCGGTTACATCTTCTTTCCATAGTAAACTCACTGTCCAACACCACATTGCAGCAAAGACAGGTCCGTAGGCACTTCCTTTCTTCACTTCTGCGCATACTCTTCGAAAAAGTCTCTCCCAGTCACGAGGCCATTGTTGTAGTTGTTGATAAAAATCTCCTCCTAGAACTGAAAAGTGTAATTACATGCACCAAACATATGATATCTACTCTCTCGTGCACATTAACAAAGCAAACATCTATCATCTGGCTCATTGATTCTGAACCATCCTCGAAGCTTCAATAAACTCCTCCATATCCCAGAACTTTCAGTAGTAATAGGCATATCTCAAATAGAATGTCATCGTAATTTGAGTTTACTAATCCATGCAACCCAAAAACTCTTTATTATATTATATTGAAGGGTAAACTTTGTGTTTTATCAACTTTAAATGAAAACGGATCAGGTCCGTAACCTTATAATGAGTAACCCGCACATTAGCATGACATCATTATCCCTCTCTCTTCTGAAAAGTCTTTTATCTTTTCCCCTTTAATCTTTAACCGACGATTTCTCTATCGTTTTTACTCGAAATTTAATTTTTTTGCATAGATAAATCAGATTAAATGTGCTCTTTAAAATGATACCCACTTTGATATATTTTAGTACAAAAAAAATTGAATAATTTTTTACCAGTCATTACCATATGGTATGCTCCTATTTAATACCATATGGTAAGAAAGCGTATCATGATGGTATGAACATACCAATATAGTAAGAAGGTTGAATACATGATAGTAGAAGTGTACTAACTGTTATTTACGACTTTCATCATTGTTTACTACAAGTTACCACCCACATACCATAGTAGTAAAGTATGGTAATTTTTTGTCCATTATTTTTTCACCCAGAAACCAATGATTACTGACCCTATCCTAAGCCACTTTAAATGAAAATATCACATCAATAATTTCACTAATATAACCAACATTTCCAAGTATTATGGTATGTGATAATTGACCCTAAATATCACATTTCACAAATGTTTGATTCAAAGGAAGCATAGATTTGTACCATCTTTACCTTATCAATCATGCTAGGAATTGAATCACCTTAAAGAGTAAAATGCAAATTCAAGTTGGAGTTAGCTATCATTGAGAGATACCCTATTTAGCATACAATCTCTTTGTCAAATTTGGTTATCCCCAACCTTACTACATAAGTCGACCGATATCTTAGAGCAAATAAAATTGACATAGCCAAACTTAGAGCATCTCCATCAATGCAATTGTAAACTCAATTGCATTTGTTATTTTTTTTGCCAACTCAAAAATTTTGCAATCCATCTTATTTTACTTTTATTATACCTACATCAATGCAATTCATTTGCAATTGCATATGTGATTTAATTCCACATATAAAGGTAAAAAAAAGAAAAAAGAAGAAGAAAACAATCGGTCCTTCCCATAAAAATAGCCATGTTGGCTTTCACTCCCACTTGCATTATATGCAAGATTGCAAAAGTGTAATTGAGGCCTACAGCAATGCAATTACAGTTGCAAGCATTCCACGTCACTTTGCAATTGCAAAATGTGACCGATGGAGATGCTCTTATCAACCAGACACTTCATACCCTCAAAAGAAAAAGCAAATTGACGAAATCCCACAAACCAATATCACAAGCAAATTAACAAAAACTGTTCCTTTTTACAATGGACTATGATTCTTTTGTATGCATCGATCTTGTCTTGTTACTGCTTGAAGTCATGGCGACGGCTACGCTTCTTCTTCTTCTTCTTGCCACCCTCAGCAACATTACCACCACCGCCACCACAGCTGAGGCTCCGGACCAGCAAAATGCAAGAGGTTTTAACGGCGGATTTCTTGCTCGTCGTCCTCGTCGTCGTTCTTGGATCGTTATAAATCGGCTTGGACATGGACTCTCGTGGACTGCTCACGCTTCGGTCGGTACTTGTTGAAGAAGAGGTTCCACTACTGTACTTTTGAAAGCCTCCCGAAGGCTGTTTGCTGATCGATTCTTCTTCCATCTCCGTTCTCAAATCGCGACTAAAGCTGTCGCTAAAGAACTCAATTAGCTGCTTCTTGGCACTGGAAGAAGAAGACCTAGAAGGTCGCACATTAAGGTAGCCTGTGTTGCTACTCGTCGTCGACGATCGATTAAGTACTCGAGGAGTTGATAGTGTGTCCGGATCATCAGCTTCTTCCGAATCAATTCGGTCCATGATCGGAGTGAATGATCGCGATGAACCAAAATCTACACTCCCGCGTATATGCGGAAAACAATATAGCAGCACGTACAGTATGTAGTGGATGGCTTATCAATAACTCGAGCTGTTTGAATACGGGTAAATTATATAACCAGGTAAAAAAAAAAAAGAACCTTTAATTAATTACCTCCGTTTACACTACGAAATTCCTCGTTATCGGAGTCGAACCAAGGATGTGCATCGAAGTAGCCATCATCTCGTTCACCGCCACCGCTGAAGTACTCCTTAGCGCTCCCCTGCCTCTGGATTGGCGACGGTGTTGTCGACTTCATTTGGCGGGAATCTACGCCGACGGTGGGACACTTAATGAGCGCCGTCGCCAAAGCATCTGTCGTCGTTTCTGTTGTTGCTTTGCCGTCAGTTAATAGGTCCGATTCCATTTCTTTCGCCATGGAAGAGACAGAGAGAGGGAGAGAGGGAGATGAAGGAATGATGAGAAGGGAGGAGAGTTATCATGGATTGAAGCCGACGAAGTTGGGGTGGTGGCTAGAATTTCAAGAGAGAGAGGGCGGGGAGACAGAGGTAGTTGGTCTTGAAAGCTAAGTAAGTTTTGGTGTTTGGCAAAGGGCTGGTGAGTGGGTGGGGAATGGATTGTGGAAACGTGAGAATAGATGGATGCTTTGATGTGCTAACTCCGTCAAAGTTCCAACTCTCTCTTCCACGGTAATTTTTTTTTTGGACAAAGATCTCTTGCACAGTATGTTCAATAGTCTTGAACTCTTTAATCTTACCCACGTATGATTTCACAAACATTGCATTGATACGGACTAATCCAATTACTAAATTCTATTTAATTTCCATAAATTCATAGAGTCAAGTTGAATGAAGATTACTATCAAAGCCCATGTTGATGCATCAACAAGAGACATTAAATGTAACAAAAAAAAAAAAAAAAAGAAGCTTTTTTAAGTGTCCAAGAATTTTGCTACTTCTAGGTTCGCATATGTATTAAACTGAATTCCGACAATTATAACCAATATAGAGATTTTTTCAAAAATGCTGAATTGATCATTTACCTCGCATAAAAACTGAAGCAAGTTCAAAGACTGAAACTAAAGAAAACATCTTTTCATATTCTAGGGAATCAATGAAATCGAAATAAAAATTTCCTTAAATTCAAAATCAAAACCGAATCTTGTTCGATCAAAGTGTTGGTTCAATGATCCAGTGTAGCGTGCCACAACCCTCGTCATTGATTTCCACGAGAATAATTTACCAATCCAGCAACTTAGATGTTTTGTATATTAAAGCTCCATTGTTGGTAGCCAGCTCATCATGTTAAATCTTTTTTCCTCTCATGGCTGTTAGCCCTGTTAGCTTTTGTAAGATATCCTCAGTTTTCCTTAGGAAGATAAAGATAACGCCTAGTGCGAGCAGAATATCTCTATGCTTGCGGTTAAACGTCAAAAAAAGCTTATAGAGAGAGCTGAACCACAGGGATTCCATGCTAGACTTGCTGTTTCTGTTTCACACTGGCATAGCCCAATCCGCCCTATCAACACTAATACACAAGATGATACCGCTACTGGTTCTAATCTAACACATAAGATAATTTCGGGTTAATTATCGAAACAGTCATTCAAGTTTGAGGTAACCAATAAATCAATCACTCGTTCTTTAAAAGCAAAAACTAATCTGTCTTATTAAGTTTTTTACTGAATCTGCGAAACCGAAGGGTTACATCTATCCAAAAACTGAAGCTCGATGACCGTTTTGTTAGCTGCTCTAAAGTTGGAGGACTATTCATGTAAATAGAATATAACAAACCTACTGCGATTAGTTCTAGGGAATGTAAGAGAAAACACCTATTTCCCTACTTAGTAATGTCCTTCAATGATATGGACATTATGACTTATGACAGTAGCTGTCATCTCTTTGCCACTGTCTCTTCCTCTCTGCCCAAGAAGCCCTAGATAAAAACCCACCCAATTCTCAAAATGATTCATCAACCATCACCTTACCCAAACATAGAAAGCACCAAAGCTATGCAGGAAGCTACGGTGAGGACGAAGAGCTTCCGGGATGAGGACTACAGCTACAGGAGGGTGTTTCTGAGGAGCTATCCGCTTCACTGGGAAGCGGACGATAAAAGCGATGACGACTTCGGCATGGCTGCCAACAAGAACGACCAGAAGAAACCTATGAAGAAGATGATACTATCGGTGTTTCAGTGGGGAGAAGCTAGGGTTCTGGTTCTGAGGAGATTCAAGCACAAGGTCACGGTTTACGCCGTGAGTTGTATCCCTGGTGGCTAAACAAACAAGACTGGGATCCTAATTTCAACCTGAACTCCATCCTTCTTCAGTAAGAAACTCCACTTGAGCCACACATACAAGGGGAGGCAACTAATAATGTATGTGATAGGATACTCTGATAGTAGATTAAAAGAGAATAGGAGTGCCTACTTATGTTTTCCGATGTTTCTGATATGTGTTATTCTTAATGTATTGAGATAATGGTTCGCAACAAATATGAGATCTCATGTGCATGAAACATGAATATAGTGGCTTACAAGGAGCAATAAAATAAATCACCTCGAAAAATCAAATGATCATTCCTCTCTGATTTCTACCTTAGTTTAACAAAAGAAGCCTGCTTTATCTGCTTAGTTTCTGTAGGGAGCAGGATGGGGGAAACAATGACATGTCTTTCACCTCAATCGACAAACTGCCTAAATGTCAGATTTTTTTTTAATTCAGTTCTTTAAGAGCAAATTAAGTCATAGGAACAGCAAAAAAGAAAGTCTCTAACACCAAAAGAAGCTTTAACATCTAATCTAGAGATCACATGAATGGAAAACAGTATTTTCTATCCTGTAAAACATTATGTATGGATACATCTGTAACTGTAAGTGGTAATCAAGCAGTAGAAGTAGGAAATTACTCAGAAAGCATGATTGGCGTACTTCCAAATACAAAGGCCCAAAGTTCATTGCTCAGAAGAATATGATTGAAACACCCATCGCAAAGCATCCTGCTCCCATCCATGGACTCAGACGTTCACCTAGTTTAGCAATCATAAAGGGAGGAGTCAAGTCCCGAAATCAAACTGTAGCTCAGCAAGTAGAACAACATGTTCCAGAACATCAAGTCCTTTTATGCTACAACAGTTCCTTAAATCAGCAGTACAGTATATCGGATGCTTAAGATGGTCATCATTTACAGGCGAGGCAACCAAATTTAAGAGCATATGCCGATGTTAAGAAACCCGACTTAACAAGATAGGAAAATCACATGAAAGTGTTCAGCAATAAAACAAACCAGATGGAAGTTTTCCTGCTAGGCCAAGCTCCCAAAGGGAATATAGTCAGCAAGGATCATTAAGAAAATTAAATCCTAAAGTTTAAGCTTGTTTGTTTAAAGCATAACATTAACAGCTACACTGTATCATTTCCTGAACTGAGTAATCCAAAGCAACTCACATACAGTCTAATTCCTACAGAACCGTCACTCCACACCAACTGCTAAAGAATCACGCGTGGATAATCAACCCATATCACTCAAATGTTCTATACTCAACTGATGAAGTAACTAGTAAGTAAGTAAGTACAAGCAAGGTATGGCCCAAAACATATTGCAAAAACGAACAAAAAAAGGAAAAGGACACCAAAATGACAAGGCATTTCAAGACTGACCTATTCTGGCTGCCTTCCAGAAGAAACCACGAAACCTGTAATTCGCCACAAAACACAGTGATCAACCCCTTGATTAAGGCTTTTGCATAGTCAATCACAGAATGTATATGGAAACAACAAGCACGAACCCTGTTTTGTGTTCAAGTATGGCTGGGAAGTGCAACTTCACGTAAGTACAAGTACAAATCACCAACAGCACAACCGTGAGAAACGAATGGAAATTGAAGAGCGCCGACTGCGAAAGGAAACGTATCGAAAAGAGATCAATGGAGACAAATTGAAAATAGAAATCGAATGGACGGAAGAACCCTTAGATGCAAAATTTGTTATACCATAGCTTTGTTCTGCTGCAGCTGACGGATTCGCAAGATTCAAATCTGCAGTAAAAAAAAAAGAAGAAAACAAAGCTCAATTGAGAATCCGCCAGAACTGAGAAACTGAAATTTCCGTCGAGCTTCAAGCTCTCAGTATCGCTACCAGATCAATGAGCGATTGGCGGAAACTTGGATCGGGAGCGAAGGAGGCTAGGTTTTCGTGCGGCGCAGATAAAATTTGAGAGCACTAGTTGAGGGAATATAGACGGAGAGAAATTCGAGTGGGCTTACCGAAGCGGAAACTCCAAACTCTTTTACTCCGGCGGCACAGGTGGCGGAGCGAGGAGGTAGCGCGGCGGCGATACTTCTTTTTCCACCTTTCTCCTCACTTGATTAGAGTCCAAGTTAGATTTCCCGTAGTCGCCGGGAAGAAAAATAGAAGCGAGGAGTAACTCATCCGGCGGCAAAAAGTATTGGATTGCCACGTATTTTCTTTTTTCCTATAGAAAGCTTACTGAACCTTTGGGCTTTTGGTTTCTTGATTATTGCCTTGTCACCGGCTTAATGGGCTTATTTGCGCCCATCACGAAGTTTTCTTTTTTTAAAAAAAAAAATAAAATAATGGCTAAATTATACGTTTGATCACTCAAATTACATAAATCTTTTACATTTGTCATCTGAATTATTTTTCTTTCTTATTCGTCACTAATTTTACGAATCGTTTCACCGTTAGTCACCGGCCGTCAGTCACCGTCAAACTCAGTTAATTTTTAATAACATGGCAAACGGAATTGCTGACTGGACAATTTAAACCTAATGACATGTCAATTAAAAAAATTATTAATTAACACCTCATCATCTCCCTCACGTTTCACGAGCTGTTCCGCCAAGGCCGAGAAAGCCATCCATATTGAAGATAGCAGCAGAGGAAATCGAACCAGATGAACAAGCACTGAAGAGCTTCTCACACGACGTCGTCTCCCTCGGAAGCAGTTGAAGAGCTGAGCAGAAACGGCAGCGTATGAGTTAGTGCTTGTAGTTGTTTCAAGTTTTACTGTACAGGGACACTTGTCTTTCTTTGATTAGTTGTGTATAGGTTTTCTGTTTGTTACCGTTACACTTTCACCTCTGTAATTAACTTTCCTCAACCCCTTCGTTGAGAAGGTGTCTGAGAGTACATATATATATGGCCTTTGAGCCAACCTGGATTCCTGCGGGTTTCCATTACAATATATAGAACCCTAATTCCGCATGGTATCAGAGCCTGGTTACCTCAACTAGGGTTCTTACCATTTCACCCGCATTCTTTCTCCTTCAATCTAAATCTGAATTTCTACTTCAATGTCGACTGATTCCGCAGCCACTGCTTCAAGCAGCTCGACATTGATTACTACTCCTTCTACGGTGACAAACCCTTACTACATAAACCCTAATGAAACCTTAAGCTTTCCTATTAAGCTTACTAGTACTGCAAACTACAATCTTTGGAGTCGTACAGTGCGTGTGGCTCTGAAGAGTAAGAACAAGCTGGGATTCATCACTGGAGCAATTCCTGTTCCAGATCCACGCCATGAGAGTTATCAGGCTTGGGAGCAGAGCAATACAGCTGTTTACTTTCTGATTCTTGGGTCTCTGGATCCTTCACTCGTCAACATCGTCTCCTCTCAAGACAATGCTAAGCTCTTATGGGATGATTTGAAGCAAAGGTATGGACAAGCTGATAACATCAGAATCAGTGACCTTCAAATAGCTGTCTATACACTGAAGCCAGGTAACAAGACTATTAATCAATTTTACTCCGAGTTGAAGGGACATTGGGAAGAATTGATACAATTTTTGCCTATTCCTGACTGTCCATGTGGTGGAGAAAATAGTACTGTTGCTTGTATTACTGAAATGATTGTCAAGAAGTATCGTGAGAATGAATTTGTGACTCGCTTTATTACTGGGCTGAATGAATCCTATGGAGGAGTCAAGACCAATTTATTGATGATGACCCCATTACCTCCTATGGAAACTGCATTCCACTATGCAATTCAGCATGAAAGACAGGTTACAAAATCGAGTCAAGAGTCACAAGTTGAATCAGTGGCTCTCTTGGCTACTGGTCAGTCAAGAGGAAAAGACAATTCTATGAATTCCCAGAATGGTCAGGGCCCTCTATTCTGCAGGTATTGCAAGAAGGATAATCATGTTATAGCAGACTGCTATAGACTCAAAAGGAAGAATAGAGAAGCTGGGAATTCTTCAGGTTTTGCTGGGCAGTTGCAGATTGGAGAAAATTCAGGACCTGGAATCCTTGTCAAACCAGAAACCAAAAGCTCTAGTGAATCAGCTGATGGATTCACTAATGTTAGATTGTCTACTGAAGACGTAAACCGACTTCAAAGGATCTTATCTCAATTGAATGCCTCTGGTTCTTCTTCCTTACCTGGATCACCTGGATCTAACAGTGGTGTTCAACAGTCACAGCAACCAATGGTGAATTCTGTGGGAAGACATCTCACTGTTAGCCCCAACTATTCAGGTAAATACACTCTTAATTCATATATTCGGCAACATCCATTGGAATTAATGAATGTGTGGTTCCTAGACACTGGTGCAACAGATCATGTTACTTGTTCGGTTTCTAGTTTCATTAAGCATAGAACCATTCATAATGTGTTTATAACATTGCCAAATGGTTCCAAAACCCCTGCTACTCATTCTGGAAGTGTTAGACTATCACCTCATCTGGTAATCCATGATGTCCTGTATGTTCCAACCTTTTCTTTCAACCTTGTGTCAGTTAGTAAACTAACTAAATCTTTACCTATCTCACTCACTTTTAAATCACCCATCTGTTCTATCCAGGACCTTCTAACCAAGAGGATGATTGGTTTTGCCCAAGAGACTAGAGGTCTATACCAGTTTGCACCCTTCACAGAAGACACACCTATCCATGTCAATTCCATCAAGACTCCAAATCTTACTCCTATGTCTTTTGATTTATGGCATTGGAGACTTGGCCACCCATCTGATTTTAGAACTCAAGAGTTGAAGAAGACCATTCCTAGTATAGATAGCAATCAAGTCAATCATTGTGATGTTTGTCACATTTCCAAACAGAAAAGACTTTCCTTTCCTTCAAGCCAATATGTGGCAAAGAGTGTTTTTGATCTGATTCATGTAGATATATGGGGACCTCTGTCAGTTTCCAGTTATAGTGGTTTTCACTACTTTCTTACCATTGTAGATGATAAGTCTCGATGTGTATGGACCTATCTCATGAAGCTTAAGAGTGAAGCAAGAAAATTGTTGCAAGATTTTTGTGTCATGGTCCATAATCAGTTTGACAGAAAAGTTAAAGTCATTAGGTTTGATCAAGGAGCAGAATTCCATATGCCTGATTTCTATTCCCAAAATGGCATCATACACCAAATGTCCTGTATTGAAACTCCGCAGCAAAATGCTAGAGTGGAAAGAAAACACCAAGACATATTGAATGTAGCTAGAGCACTTAAGTTTCAATCTGGACTACCTTTAAAATTCTGGTCAGATTTCATTCTTCATGCTGTCTATCTCATTAACAGACTTCCAACAGTGGCCTTGTCCAATAAAACCCCTTATGAAATTCTATATGGACAACCCCCTGATTTGTCATCTTTAAGAGTGTTTGGATGCTTGTGCTATGCTAGCACATCAGCACACAAAAGAACTAAGTTTTTGCCTCGTGCCAAACAATGTGTCTTCATAGGATTTCCTCCTGGTGTGAAGGGGTACAAGTTGTTTGATTTACAGGAACAGAAAGTCTTTCTTTCTAGAGATGTTATCTTCCATGAGGATATCATCCCTTGTTTTTCTTCTTATGTTCAACCAACAAATAGTGTCCTTGACTCTCCTGTTCCTTCCATTCCTATAATTTCCTCACCACCACCACCTTTTGATCCCGTCCCAAGTGTAGAGGTACCACCTGGTGCTTCTACTTCTTCCCCTCCCATCCATTCTACACCAGCACCATCTCCTTCTTCATCCACTTTTCCTGAGCATTCACCTGTGAATTCAGAATCCCATTCCATCCCAGTGCCTATCTCTCCACAACACCAATCATCTGTTCCCATTGCTGTAAGGAAACCAACTAGAAACATTGTTAAACCTGTCAAGTACAATGATTATGTTTTGCACCTAGGAACCACACAATCTAAAAGAAAATATCCAATGGTTGCTTGTCTGTTTTATGATCAACTGTCTCCAGATTATCACAGATATGTGATGGCAGTGGAATCAACCATGATTCCTAGTTCATTTGAAGAAGCAGTAGGACATGAACATTGGAGAAAGGCAATGGATGCAGAAATAGCTGCTCAACATGCCAACAGGACATGGGACATTGTCCCCAGGCCACCAAACAAGAAAATTATAGGCAACAGATGGGTGTATGCAGCTAAGTTTCATGCTGACAGTACCTTGGAAAGGCATAAAGCCAGACTGGTGGCTAAAGGATTTACTCAAATCTATGGAATAGATTTCCTAGATACCTATTCTCCAGTTGCTAAATTAAACTCCATCAAGACTCTATTGGCTGTAGCAGCAGCTAAGAACTGGGATATGATTCAACTAGATGTCAGCAATGCATTCTTAAATGGAGATTTGGAAGAAGAAGTGTACATGGAATTGCCTCCTGGCATTGATAAGCCTGGTTATGTTTGCAAACTAAGGAAATCAATTTATGGTCTTAAACAAGCATCTCGACAGTGGTTTGCCAAGCTAACATCTGTTTTGCTGGATTTTGGTTACACTCAGTCTCCTAATGACCATTCAATGTTTCTACATCATTCATCATCTGGAATTTCTGTTTTATTGGTGTATGTGGATGATATCATTATTGCTGGAGATGATAAGATGGCAATGCAGGCTTTGAAGCATCACCTTAGTGATCAGTTTAAACTCAGGGATCTAGGCCATTTGCACTACTTTCTTGGTTTGGAAATGGCTAGATCCAGGGAGGGAATACACATATGCCAAAAGAAGTATTGCACAGATTTGTTGAATGACACTGGATTTGCTGATTCCAAATCAGTGGTTACTCCAATTGATATGAAGACAAGACTTGCAGCAGATGATGGTCCTCTTCTTGAAGACCCTGGAATTTACAGAAGAATTGTAGGAAGATTACACTATTTGACAATCACCAGGCCAGAAATCACATTTGCTGTGCAGCAGCTTTGTCACTATAGTGCAGTACCTACTACTACACATCTACAACTAGCATACAGGGTTCTCAAATACCTGAAGAATGCTCCAGGTCAGGGTCTGTTTTACTCTTCTTCATCTGATTTAACTCTAAGAGGTTACAGTGACTCAGATTGGGCTTCATGCCCTGATACAAGGTGATCAACCACAGGTTATTGCATTACTTTTGGAACTTCATTGATCATCTGGAAATC